CAAGGGCACGCGCGGCGCCCCCGGGGCCGGGACCAGCCATGTGCATTGCTCCGCGGGCGCATGTAAAGAGCCCGGCGGGCGCCATGGCGCCCGCGGGCACCGGGTTGGGGACCACGGTTCTAGGGGGCCTGATTGCTGGTGCTCTGACCTGCTTACCTGTTCCCTGAATTCCCAAGTGAAGTACAACAATGCTCCACAGCTCAGGCTACGGCCAGCCAGTGTCTGCTCAGCTCAGTCCATAGGAAAGGCAATAATAAGACAGGGCCTGGAGGGTGATCCACTGGGGGTATCCTGGGCCTCGGTATTATGCTTATACGAAGCATACAGAATCTTTTTCAGTTTTTTCAGCCGTGTTTATTGAAAATACAAAATGAAAAGCGCACACGCACACACAGGTCCTGCAGATGGTGCATAGTTACCAGTCCATCGTGGCTCACATCAGTCTTACTGGCCAGGCAAGGCTGACTGAGTGAGGAGATGGGTTCTTGCGTGTGATTTGAGGCTCAGCTTGCAGGACTGAACCCAGAGTTCGAATGGCAAGACATTCCCCGCTGTATACACGTCAGTTCCCATTGGAGTCTGTGGGGTTTGTGTGTCATGCTGCAATCATCCATCCTTAGGAGGTGTTAATATGGGTTTGCCAGAGTTCTCCTGCAATGATTGTCAGGCTGCCCAGCCTTGTCTCTCACTCTTGGGGATCGCTGCCTGTCTCCAGAATTCTGTCAATGCTGCTAATTCAATTCAGCCTCTGACAGAATGGCTGTTTCCTGGTTATCTTCAAGATTCCCACTTCTTGACCTCTTGGTATCATGTTACTGGATTTAAGTGGAGCAGCCAGATCATTGCTGTGCCCACGGGGAGTTGGTTACCTCAAAGTCTGAACAAAGGGGGCCATGTGAGGTGTCAAATGAAAGCTTATGTTCTACTGATTCTATATATGCTACTCATGTACTTGTATAAAGTCTTTATGTGGAGTTAAGAATATGAACTCTGTGCTGACACTGGCCTACACCACCTGTTGTAAAGGAGCATTGTCCAATGAATGATTATGCTAATTAGCACAGTCCCGGAGACAATGACTCTCAAGGTGCCTAATACACACCTGGGCTATGTCTAGATTGCATCCCTTTTTCATAAAAGGGATGCAAATTAGACGTATCGCAATTGCTAATGGAGCAGGGATTTAACTCTCCCCTGCTTCATTAGCATAAAAATGGCTGCCGCTTTTTTTCAGCTCAGAGCTTTGCCAGAAAAAAGCGCCAGTCTAGACGCAGATCTTGCAGAAAATAAAGCCTTTTCCAAAAGATCTCTTATCCCTTATTTTAAGAGGGATAAGGGATCTTTCGGAAAAGGCTTTATTTTCCGAAAGATAAGCGTTTAGACTGGTGCTTTTTTCCGGCAAAGCTCTGAGCCGAAAAAAAGCGGTAGCCATTTTCATTAAAATCCCCGCTTCATTAGCAATTGCGATACATCTAATTTGCATCCCTTTTACGAAAAAGGGATGCAATCTAGACGTAGCCCTGAGGAATGCATCTGGGAACATGCAAACCAGCCAGGGCAAAATGGCTGCTGACATATGAAACAGAGATAGGTCACTTGACCATATGGCCTGCTCCACTTGGAAGGTACCAGGGAGATATATAAGTGTCATGAGGCAGACTCCATCTTGTCTTCAATTCTGCTACTGATCCCAGATGCAGCCTTGCGAAGGACAGAGAGCCGGGAAGAATCGTGGACCCATTCTGACATTAAAGTCTCTGGTGTATATCCTAAGATAGCTTGTAACATTTCTGCTGAGAGCCTGCATCAAGAACTTGGGGTATGTCTACACTCGCTCGTTAGTTTGAGCTAGGTAGGTAAATGAGGGCAACCGGAGTTGCAAATGAAGCCAGGGATTAAAATAACCTGCGTGATTTGATGCATGTAACAACCTTACTCTCAACATTTTCTTTCTTTTATTAATAAACTATCCAATTAGCCCACCATAAGATGGGATTTTCAGGTCTCTCTTCCAAGTCGGTCTTCTCTCCTGAGCCTCTCTCTCCTCCCCCTTTCTCTCTCAGCTCTCCTCTGCCTTCTGCCTCTCTCTCCATCCCTCTCTTTCTCTTCTCCTCCTCCTGCCTCTCACTCTCTCTCAGCTCTCCTCTGTCTCTGTCGGGGATGCACGCTTGTCCAGGTCCCACCCCCTGGGCGTGTACGTCACCTCCCTGCCCTCCTTTGCCTCCCGCCGTAGTGCTCAGCTGACTTCTGTGCTGCTCAGCTGGGCCGCTGTGCAGGAGCAAGTGGCGCAGACGTCCCCTCTCTCTCTCTTCTCCTCCTACAGCCTCACCCTCTCTCTTTCTCAGCTCTTGTCCACCTCCTGCCTCTCTCTCCGTCTCTCTCTTTCTCTTCTCCTCCTCCTGCTGCATCTCTGTCACTCTTTCTCTCACTGTCCTCCGCCTCCTTGTCCAGGCCCCGCCCCCTGGCTGTTCCCTCTGGGTGGCACTGTTGCCTTCCGCCGTGGCACTTGGCTGACTTCTGTGCCACTCAGCCGGTCCACCGCCTGGGAACAAGCATCACAAGTGGCCTTTTGGGCCTTGCGCTCCCCATGCAGCACCCCCATGTTAACTTGTAGTTTTCAAAGGGATAGAGTCTTTTTTTTTTTGCTCAACAATTGTGGTGGGGGCTCTTCACATTTTTTCTGCCGCTGTTTTGGCTCTCTTCGTTTAATGGGTTGGCCACCTGTGATGGGCCGGGCCGTGTCTGGGCACAGCTGAGGGCGTCCGCTCAGGGCGAATTGCTCAAATCCGGGGCTCCTTACAGCCCCCAGACTGGTGACCTCTCCAAACAGGCCACGAACCAGTCCCACAGAGTGCTTCAGCTGCCTGCCTAAAGCCTCCCGAGCAAAACCCCTCCGACACCCCAGCAATATCTGTGCCCCAGATGGCCCCGGGCCTATACACAGGTGGGGGGTCCTATCTGTCTGGTTCCAAGAAACCAGTCACAGATTCCTGGTCAATTTCCCCTTTGGACCTTACCCACAAATCACGCTGGGCCAATCCTTTAGTATCTAACCAGTAAAGGTTTATTATTACAATAAAGAAAAGCATGAGAGTAAGGTTGTTAAAGAATAGTACATTCCATGCACCGAATCTCCCAGATCTCGATGCAGGCTCTAGCAGAGATGTTACAGCTGCTGGTTTAAAAGTTCTTGTTGCACATCCTAGGATCAGGATGTGTCCACAGGTCTTTCGGGCTCTTCGATCCCTGCATTGCTGCCTCTGGGATGAAGTGCTGAGCTGAAGACAAGATGGCGTCAACCACATGGCCTCTTTATACATCCTTCCTAGTCCCTTCTTGGCTGTAGCAGGTCACCTGGCCAGAGGCCAATCTCTGTGTTCCCTGCTGGCAGCTCTTAGGTGACAGCCCCCATTCTTTAGGTGTGCCCTTGGCCCATTGAGAGCCATTGTCCCACAGGGCCTCGCTGATTATCATGTCCACAGGCCCGGCCCTGTCCAATGCTCAACCACATGCAGGGGAATCTTCAGTATCCATACACGTACATACTAATAATTGCACACACAGACATTATACAAACACATGAACAGCGTACATAGGATTAGCAGACAGTGAGCTTCTATTCAACACCCCACATGGCCCCCCTTTTATACCATTATCTGGGGCCAACACCCCCATCTATGGGTGCAGCAGCGATCTGGCTGCTCCCCTCAAAATCCAGTAACGTGACACCACCCCTGGTCTAAAGGAACAGCAAAAAGAAAGGAATCTTTCACAATTTATTTTGTGATACAGACAAGGAATACAACTTAATTTGTAATGCTAACAGAAGCAATGCCTTAAAGTAAACATCTTCTAATTAAGAGAAAGAGGGTGAAATACAAGCCTATAGAACTTACAAGCAAGTTGTTATACATCAAATCATTATGAATACGCTGACCATACATCCTGGAAAATCCAGGATAGTCCTGAATTTAAATACTCTGTCCTGGTGTCCCATCAAGTAGCAAAATGTCCGAGAAAGCCCTGCTGGAGGAGCAGCCAGCTAGAAATGACTGATACACCTCCATTCCCCTTCTCCTGGCTGGCAGAGTTTGCAGCAACTCACCCCCTAGCATGGCACAGCAGTAACAGTCTTCCTCCTCTTTCCCCTCCCAGCACATGGGACGTCTCCCTGCCTTGGTGCTTTGCTGGCAAACAGCTGGGACAAATTCTGGAGCATTCCCCATGTTCAAGTGTGCTGCCCAGCCCCACCACCACATGGCAGCCCCCCCTTCCATCCGTCCCCTTGCAGGATGGCATCTGTTGTTGAGTAGGGCCCCCAGTCCAGCTGTGTGCCCCACCCCTATGTGAAGGTGGCCACTTGTTCTTTCTTACAGTGGCCACCGCTGCTGCAGTGGTTGGGATCAGCCAGGTCTGAGGCAAAATGAACTGAGGAGCTGTTCTTGGACCTCAGCACCTTCGAGTTGCAGCCTGAGTCCTGGGAGGGGCCATGTGAAGTCTACCTGGGGTGCTGCAGGGTATGCTCAGGCTTGGCAGGTGTGCTCTGTGCACAGCCATTCTTTCTCCCCCTATCTCTCTCCACCCTGCTGAGGGAGTGGCAGTGTGTGGAGCTGCTGACAGCCAGTTTTGACACAGCAGGGCAGTGAGCCAGGTATTGGCCTGGCAGGTTGAGTACATCCAATTCCAGTCACATGTGGGCAAAAAGGAGGACTCCAGCCTAGGCTGGAGACAGACAGAGGTGGCTGGAGGCCTGGGAGCTGGGTAGGGGAAATGCTCAGTGTGCATGGATAGCTGGAAATGTAGCGCCAGGTGAACCTCCCCAGGCAGGGAGAAGCCATCAGGACTATGCAAGATACTTAGGCCCTGGGGTTCTGCTCCTCTCTACAGCCCCTGCCACCTCCCTTGTCTCCAGTGCCTCAACAGCAGCCACTTAGCTTTCCCCCAAGGGCCCTCCCACCCACATAGATACCATCATTCATCTACCTATCCATCATCCTGCATTCTGTCTACACAGCTACCCTGCACACCACCATCCATCTACACATCCCCTCGAACATACCATCATCCATCTACATACCTTCACCGCACACCACCATCCATCTACTCATCCTCCCCTGTAGGGAATAATTCTGGACACACTGGGTAGAGGTGAAAACAACCAGAGGATTTATTGGTTCACACAGCTGGTGGAGTGCCCACCAGGTGTTAACCTGCTGAGCACTAACTTAACCAAAACATACATTAGATTAAATAGGCAGCAGATGGGCAAAGGGAAAGTGATTTGACAGGTCTAGGGGTGGAAACATTATGGTTACGTATAGACTGGCATGATTTTCCAGAAATGCTTTTAACGGAAAAGCTTTCCGTTAAAAGCATTTTCAGAAAAGAGCGTCTAGATTGGCACGGACACTTTTCCACAAAAGCACTTTTTGCGGAAAAGCGTCCGTGCCAATATAGACGCACTTTTCCTCAAAAAAGCCCCAATTGCAATTTTCACGATTGGGGCTTTTTTGCGGAAAACAAATCTGAACTGTGTACACTGGCCCTTTTGCGCAAAACTTTTGCGCAAAAGGACTTTTGCCTGAACGGGAGGGCTGTGTATAGACTGGCCAGTTTTTCCGGAAAATCAGCCTCTTTTCCGGAAAAACGTGCCAGCTGTCTACACTGGCTGCTTGAATTACCACAAAAGCACTGACTTCCTACTGTCTGAAATCAGTGCTTCTTGCGGAAATACTATGCTGCTCCCGTTTAGGCAAAAGTCCTTTTTTGCAAAAGTTTTGCTCAAAAGGGCCAGTGTAGACAGCTCAGATTTATTTTCCACAAAAATGTCCCGATCATGAAAATGGCGATCGGGGTTTTTTTGCGGAAAAGTGCGTCTAGATTGGCACGGAAGCTTTTCTGCAAAAAGTGCTTTTGCGGAAAAGCATCCATGCCGATCTAGATGCTCTTTTCTGAAAATGCTTTTAATGGAAAACTTTTCCGTTAAAAGCATTTCCAGAAAATCATGCCAGTCTAGACGTAGCCGAGCAGCATAGTATTTCCGCAAGAAGCACTGATTTCTTACAGTAAGAAGTCAGTGCTTTTGCGGAAATTCAAGGGGCCAGTGTAGACAGCTCGCAAGTTTTTCCGGAAAAGCAGCTGATTTTCTGGAAAAACTGGCCAGTCTAGACACAGCCTATGAGCACATAAGCCAATGAACTATGAAGGTTACACAGGATCCCCGCCCATCGCCAATTAAACATGTTATCACTAATACACGGGACTCGACAAATGCACTCGCCTGTGGCGAATAGATTTTTCCAGCTGGCGAGTGCAAGGGTGGACTGGCCCATTGGGCCGTTGTGACAGGCTGGCCGAAGCCCGCACTATGGGCGGCGCGGCCCCATCTGATCTGCCGGCCAGCGGAGGAGCACAGCACCACAGGGAAGGGGGAAGTGCGGCGATTCTTCCCACTGGGCTGCCTGCATGCAGCTCCGGTGCGAGGGGGCAGGGTGGGCACCAAGACACTGGCATGACCTGGTCCTACTGATTTTAAAGGGCCGCGGCAGCTCGGCTCTGGCTGCGTGTCCCTGGAAGCTGGCTGCAGCGTGTGGAAGCTGGCTGCGGCGTGTGGCACAGCCAGGGCCCACCCTGCCAGCTCCAGTCCTGGCATGGCTGCAGCTCCCCTTTGTGTCCATGCCGCCTGTTCCCCACGCCGACCCTGCACCCCGGACCCACTGCTCTCCCTCTTCCCTGCGACCCTTTGGCTCTGCGCCGCCCTTATACCCCGCATCCTGGTGCCCCCGATCCCTGCCCCCCCAGCTCTGTGCTGCCCATTCCCTGCATTGCCCCTAGACCTTCTGCCCCTCCCGTTCTCCGCGTCCCATTCCTCATGCCTCCACCGCACCCTGTCCTGGTGCCCCCGATCCCTGCCCCCCCAGCTCTGTGCTGCCCATTCCCTGCATTGCCCCTAGACCTTCTGCCCCTCCCGTTCTCCGCGTCCCATTCCTCATGCCTCCACCGCACCCTGCTACCCCCGATCCCTGCATCCCTCTGGCTCTGTGCCTCCCGTTCCCCGCACCACCCCCGTACTCTCCCACTGTTCCCTGCACCCCTCTGGCTCTGTGCTGTTCCTGCACTCTGCTCCCCCGTGGGTCGGGAGTGAAGTATGCTTGCCCATAGGGAGGGGCTGGACATGGCAGGGAAAAGGCTGCTGTGACCCAGCAGTGAGTGAAAGGGGGAGTTCACTTGAAGTGCCTTTGTCTTTATGGACAAAAAATTAAAAATGCTATTTGTTATTTATAGGGCTAAAATGCTGGGACAAAAAAGAAAACAAACAAACAAAAAAACCCATTGCAAAATGCAAACATGTGTAAAAGACAACAACGGGGGCGGGGAGAATGTTTTGCTTGGGGCAGCAAAAAACCTAGAGCTGGCCCCTGGGGAGGGGAAGGGGCTGGGCTGTGGGGAGAGAAGGGGAAAATATGGGGAAGGGGCTTGTGCTGAGGGGAGGAGGTCAGGAGAAGAAGAAGAAGAAGAAGAAGAGGGAAGGCACCAAGGGATAGGGGTGGAGGAGAGACAAATGCCAGTTGGCCAAGTGCAGACAATGAGGAAAAGGGCAGGAGGGAGGTGTCAGTGGGAGGGGGGGACAGGGTGATGCTGGGAGAGGAGAGGGTAAGGGCACTGGGGGCTAGAGGGGGAGGTGCTGGGAGAAGGCTTGAAAGAAGGGGTGGGCATGAGGAAGGTGGGGATGGAGCAAGGCATCTGTGAGGGCACAGGGGCATGAGGAGAATGGGGGTAGAGGGTGATGAGGGGGTGGGTATCAGGGAAAAAGAGAGCAAAGGGGGCAGGGGCAGTGAGGGAAGGAGGAGGCACCAGGACGGTGGAGGTGCCAAGGGATTCTGGGGGTGAAGCAGAAGGGCAGACACCTGCAGGGGAGGGACCAGCACCAGAGGAGAGAGGCAGGGCAGGTATGTAGAGGGAGGTTTTAGGAGAGGGGATGAGGAGGGGTAGCTCACACAATCAGAGTGGGGCTACTGGAGGAGTGGGCACAGAGCGGAGAGAAGGACTGGTGGGGGGGCAGGTCTCAGGAAGGCTGAGGGCAGTGAGAAGAGCAGGAGTCAGGACAGCATGGGGTGAAGGGTTGGGGGGCAGCAGGCATATATATAAGTAGCCCAGTGTCAGAGTCTGTAACGCTGAAATGCTGGCTGTTCCCTCTGGGTGGCGCTGTTGCCTGATATGCTGGCTGTTCCCTCTGGGCGGCCTGTGCTGCATGGGGATTCTTATTCTTATTAGGAATGTATGCCATTAAAAAAACACTTTTTGTGGGGGAGAGTGGCGAGTCCCTTTTTTTTCTGGTGAGTAGGGTTTTCCATAATTTGTCGACCTCTGCCTATACACCTCACTCAACCATCCATCTACACAGCCCCCCTCATACCACCATCTATCTATCTATCTATCTATCTATCTATCTATCTATCTATCTATCTATCTATCTATTCATTCCCCCGCACAGCTTTATCCATTTACACATTCCCTCAGCATACCAGCAACCCTAACCCTAACCCATATAGACATGTCCCCAGCACACCATCAGACATCTACCCATCCCCCACACGTATCACCATCCATCTACCTATCCACCTGTGATGTAGTGGGGGTACTTGCTGGGCTGTGGTGACCTCTGCTGTCTGGAGCAAGACCCAGCAGGGAAAACCTCACTATGCAAAGGTGATGCCAAACTGGTTGAACCAGATACCCCCCATGGAGAGGAACAAAGGAACGTGGAGGCTGCCCTGGCTGGGGGGCAGGGCTGGAAGAGAGTGAGTTTAGTTGCTGTCTGGGAGCATGGAGGAGACAGCCTAGGGAAAGGGGCTGGAGTTTAGGGGCCCAGTCTCCCCCTATCTCAAGGGGGTCTGAGGCATCCTAGCCCAGCTCTGGGACCAGATTACATCTGTGCTGTGCTGTATCCTGGAGAGGCAATAAACGTCCTCTATTCCACCGGCTGGTGCAGTCTGTTTGTGCCATTTCAGGGTGCAGGAGACGGGGGGACCCCCAACGTGCCGTCACACCACCCCACATCACCATCCCCCTGCACACCAACATTCATCTACCTATCCCTCTCACGTGCCACCATCCATCTACGTATCCACCCTACTCAACCATCCATCTACCTATCCACCCCACACCACCATCCATATACTTATTCCCGTACACCGCCATCTATCTACCCATTTGCCTGTACACCATCATTGATCTACCCACCCCCATACCATCATCCATCTCCCCATCTCCCCCACATCTTTATCCATTTACACATCCCCCTGCACACCACCATCCATCCACCAATAGCCCCGACTCACTGCCATCCATCTACACATCCCTCACTCACCACCAGCCATCTACCCATCCCCCACACATACAACCAGCCATCTACCAATCCTTCCCATACCATCATCTCTCTACCCATCCTTCTGCACACTGTTATCCATATACCTATCCCCCAGGACACCATCATCCATCTACACATTCTCTGAGCACACCGTCATCCATCTGCACATTCCCCCAGCACACCAACAGACATCTACCCATCCCCCAGACATACTATCTTCATCCATCTAACTATCCCCCCACATCACCAGCCATCTACCCATCCCACTGCACACTACAAGACACCTACACATCCCTCCAGGATATCATCATCCATCTACCCATCCCCAGCACACCGTCATCAATCCACAAATCCCCCCAGCACACCCAGCACACTCCCTGTACACCGCCATCCATCTACCCATCCCCCACACATATTACCATCCATTTACCTATCCACCCCACTCAACCATCCATCTACACATCCCCTCGCACACCGCCATCCATCTACCCATTCCCTGCACACTATAACATAGGAACATAAAAACGGCCATACTGGGTCAGATCAAACATCCATTTAGCCCAGTATCTTGTCTGCCAATAGTGACCAGTGCGAGGTGCCCCAGAGGGAGTGAATTAAAGAGGTAATGATCAAGTGATCTCTCCCCTGCCATCCATCTCCATCCTCTTACAAATAGAGGCTAGGGACACCACTCCTTACCCATCCTGGCTAATAGCCATTAAGGGTATGTTTAGACTAGCCCCCTAGTTCGAATTAGGGAGGCTAATGTAGGCATTCAAAGTTGCAAATGAAGCTTGGGTATTAACTATCCCGGGCTTTATTTGCATCTTCCTATCTGGGCACCATTTTGAAATCCCCCTAGTCTAAACTAACTGCTACACAGTTAGGCATTTGAAGTTGCAAATGAAGCCAGAGATTTAAATATCCCGGGCTTTATTTGCATCTTCCCATCTGGGCGCCA